TCTTCCACGACCTCTTGTAGATTGAGAACCTTTGTTATTGTCATCCTTGGTGGATTGAACGTAGCCACCTCGAGCCCTTCCTCGTCCACGTCCTTGACATCCACTATTGCCTCGTCCAAGGCCTCTGCCACGTCCAAAGCCTCCATCTCTTTCTTTGAAAGAGAGTTTTGTGTAGAGAGCTTGCTCCAAAGATTCTTTGGGCCTTCTCTTCTTTAGTTTCTCTTCATGGGCTACTAAAGTACCCATGAGTTGATCAATGGTCATAGAGTCAAGATCTTTTGACTCCTCTATTGCTACCACAATATAATCAAAGCTTGGTGTCAAAGAGCGAAGAATTTTTTCTATCACTCTTGTGTCACTCAAGCTTTCTCCATTCCTCTTCATCTCATTTGACACTTTCAAGACACGAGAACAATAATCCGAAACAAATTCGGACTCCTCCATTTGTAAAGCTTCAAATTCTCCTCTAAGAGTTTGAAGACGTACCTTTTTAACCTTCTCAATGCCTCTATTAGCATTCTCTAGAATATCCCAAGCCTCCTTTGATGTAGAAGCATTTGCCACCTTCTCGAACATGGAATCATCTAGACATTGATGGATAAGTGAAAGAGCTTGTTGATCCTTTCTCCTTGCTTTGTTGAGTTCCCCTTTGGGCGGAGTCAAAGAAGCCTCATCTAGAGGTTTCTCATAACCTTTCTCAACAATCTCCCAAACCTCGTGAGAGCCTAAGATCGCCTTCATTCGAATGGACCACTTACCATAGTTTTCTTTGGTAAGTTGAGGGAATGGAAAGAGATCATTCCATTTGCCATCTTACTTCAAAGCTGGACCAACACCAGCTCGATACCGTTTGTTAGCAAAAGAACCCTTTGGGTTATAAGGAAGAGATCTTTTAAGTGATAGGTTTAGGAAGTGAAAATGGAAGAGAAGGAAATTTTGGGAGAAAGGGAGCTTTACTACTTTGTAGTAAAAGGAAACAAGGTGGAGTGTGTTAAGCTTTTAGTTTAAGGTTTCTCACAACTCTCTACACATACTTACATTAGGGGGTTAACTCCTATTTATAGGAGTGCATGGAAGGTTCTACACTCTTTCAAGATGTTTCTACTCCTTCTAAATATCTACATATTTTATTCTAATATCAAGACTTTTCCTTACTAATATCTAGATATTTCTTCTAGATATTTTCCATGAATTTTTCTACATACTCTTGATATTTATGTAGAACATTTCTAGAACTTTCTACTTCTATATATCTTCTTATCTAGACAATTCTTCATTGGACTTGGGCTTAGAATTAAACATAAAGATTCATGGTCCAAGTTAATAATTTTGGATAACCCACTATTAATTGGACCAAATTAAGTTTACTTACTAACACAAGTCTCCATCTCCCTCTCATGTTGATAACATTTTTAATTCTTGGTTACAATAATCCATACATCACCATTCCCAATAGCTTCCTCACCCGCGACCATGCTGCCTACCTCCCCAGAATCCATCTCCATTTTTCCCGAATTTGATCACTCCCCCTCTGCTTCCTCAGCTCCGTCTTCTTCGACCGACCCTGTTGACAATCAGTCTCCTCCTTCTCCGGCAGTTTCTTCAACTCATCATCATTCCGATGCATCTGATCACTCCTCACCATCCTCAATCGCCTCTCAGAATTTTCCTTCATCATCAGTCCCTTCTCACTCCATGGTGACGCGATCCGAAGCTGGTGTCATTAAACCCAACCCGAAATACACCCTATCAGTTACTGTTTCACTTCTATTCTAAGTGAACCTCGCTCAGTAAAACCTGCCCTAACACATTCTGGTTGGAAAGCTGCCATGTTCGATGAACTTGCTGCCCTCCATCACAAAAAAACTTGGACCTTGGTTCCACGCCTACCTCACATGCATATCATTGGCTCCAAATGGGTATTTAAGTCGAAGCTCAAACCCGATGGTACGTTGGATCGCCTAAAGGCCCGTTTGGTCGCCAAAGGGTACTACCAACTTGATGGCTTGGATTATCTTGAGACTTTCTCGCCAGTCATTAAACCCGGCACTATTCGTCTTGTGTTGTCAGTCGCTCTTCATCGCAACTGGTCCATTCGACAACTTGACGTCAAGAATGCATTCCTCCAGGGTCACATTTTTGAAGATTTGTACATCTCTCAACCTCCAGGTTTGGTTGATCCTAATTTCCCTAATCACGTGTGTAAGCTTCAACATGCTTTATACGGTATGAAACAAGCTCCTCGAGCTTGGTTCAATCGTCTCAGTCAATTTCTCATATCGTTTGGTTTTTTGTGTAGCTTGGCGGATCCCTCACTATTTACATTGCATTGTTTGCAAGGCACCCTAGTTTTGTTAATCTATGTTGACGACATGTTGCTCACTGGCTCCTCACCTTCCCTCATAACTTCTTTCATTCAAGTCTTATGTACTGAATTTTCCATGAAGGACTTAGGCCATGTGCATCACTTTCTTGGCATTGAAGTCACACACAGACCCGATGGGTTATTTCTGTCACAAGCACAATATGCACATAACATTTTGTCTTGCACGTCTATGCTAGAATGCAAACCCATGCCTACACTTTTAGATACTAAACTTGTAATGCCTGATTCTCAGAAGCTTGATGATCCTACTCAATACCGTAATATTGTCGGTGCCTTACAATATTTAGCACTCATTCGTCCTGATCTCTCCTATAGAGTTAATTTTGTCTCTCAGTTCACGCAGGCCCCTACCATTGCGCATTTGAAGCTTGTGCAAAGGATTCTTCAATTCATTAAAGGAACAATCCATTATGGTTTTCTTCTTAAGTCTCACTCCTCTACTTTGTCGACTGCTTTTTCAAATGCGGATTGGGCAGGCTGTCCTCTCACTCAACGTTCCACAACTGGGCTGCCAAACTCACGTGGCCTGGTTATCTTCTCCATGATCTGTGTGTGCCTATTTCATCTCCACCAATGCTCTTTTATGATAATCTAAGTGCACTGTTTCTGACACTCAATCCAGTTTTCCATGCTCGTAGCAAACACATCGAGCCCGACTATCACTTTGTTCGAGAGCGAGTTGCTCGTGGACTTCTTATCACCAAACATGACTCCTCTGACAAACAAGTGGCTGACATCTTCACAAAGCCAGTGTCCAAAAAAGCTCTCCTGTATTTTCGCAGCAAACTATGTCTTCTGCCCCAGCACAGTTTGAGGGGGTATGCTAAAGTTATCTATTCAAATGATAACTCTGGAGTGTGAGGAGTAATAAGGTGTTGGAGAGATAAAGGGTGATCACACTCCGTGGTGAGCTATGGTAGTAGACAGGAAGTTCAAGAGTAACTTAATACGGCTAAGTAATTATGCTTCTGTTAAAGTAATCAATAAACTAGTTAGATTTACTTCAATAGTTTACTTTTGCTAAGCCTGTTAAACCTAGTCTATAAATACAGAATTACTACACTCATTATAAAAGTGTTATAAAAACAGAAGTAATACAGTCGAAGTTTCCTTCACAATTGAGTTTCTTATCAAACCCTAATTTTTCTCTGTTCCCCCATCAGCTTGATCCCCAGATTTAACTACTAGCCAATAACTATAATCCTTTGAAACTGAGCCCTGAAAATAACTTTAGTAATACGCGGTCATTTTTTATAAATCCGTAACGAAATTGTTAATGCTCGTAGTTAATTAGAATCTGATTAATGAATACGTCTTCATCATTAATACAACTTAGCGGCGGAATTAGTTACTTAATATTTAGTTAATGGTGAACAACATGTGGTATGAAAAAAAAACTGTGTACAGTAATAATGCAAAAGTGACTTAAGCCGGGGAGAATAGAGGGAAGTATGCTGGGAGGAAATATCGTCGAAACCGGAGGGAGTAATCCGAGAGGAAGGATCTGGCTAAAAGCAAACGGAATGATAAACAAACCAACAAAAACACTTGCAAAGAAGCAGCTAGAGAAAGAAGCCATTTGTTTCGTTATTTCTAAATCAAAGATATTTTATTCAATTAATAACAGCAAAAATACCAAAAAGTTGTTCATTGTCTTCGTTTGATACCAAACATTTAAAAATAGACAATGTGCCACCAGAAAGTTAAATAGTGTCACTTTTTGCTATTCTATTAGATTTCAACTCAAAAAGTAACGGTCAACGGCTAACACACGTGAAGGACGCGTGCATTAGCTGAAGGGTATTTCTGTCTTTTAACAATATTGACCAGTCCATCATGGTCATGTGGCATGCATGTGATTATTATTGAAACATTAAATTTAATCCAACACTTCTAATTGAAGACATTAGATTTTTGTTTAAAAAAAAAAAAGGGACTTTAATTTCCCAAATTCATCTATCTTTTTTTTTTTACTTTCTCAAAAATCCCTTTTCCTTCTCTCTCTGGTGTTCTTCATCACCGCCATAAATCCCGTCTGCAATCTTCATCAACATCATCTCATCTACTTCTATAAAATTGAAAAAAAAAACCCAGAAAAAAAAACATTAAAATTTTGGAAACCAAGGACATCACCTCAATTCATCCCAACTCAAAATGAGCTCCACACTCAATTCATCACTATTAGAGTTTGGAAAAAAAAAAAAAAACAAAAAAAGGCTTGAAGAATTCTCAACCTGGGGAAAGGGTCATTCAGTCACCATCGTGGGTAATGAAATTTCTCAAGCTGCCGCCTTGCTAATCTGAAATTTTCTTCCCGATTTCAAAATTCCAGATGTTAAAAACTTGAAGAATTGACCTCCAAGAGTACTCCGAGTTCCATTAATTCCGTCCACACAAATCAGGCAGCGACGACGCAACCCATTTTCAACATGGGCAGCTCGTTTTCAGAAGAAAATCATTAACTTAAGAAAATTACGGCTGTCGAATCTGATATTAAACTCAAATCATCATCTCAAAAAGCCTAATAGAAAATCCAAAAGTTTTTCAAGAATCTACCCACAAATTCCATCAACTCAAATTATCGTCCGAAGGGGCAAACACCGTCAATTTAATCTCAGATCCAGAACCCACAAGTCCCATCAACTGTAAATGAAATTGACGATGGGGATGGAGGAGGTGGTGGGGATGATGATGGAGGCGGAGGTGAATGTACCACTGGCGGAGGTGGCGATGGGGATGGAGGCGGTGGCGACTGTGATGGATATATTACTGTTGGCGGTGGAGATTGAGGTGGTGGGGGTGAAGAATATACTACTAGAGGTGGTGGGGACGGTGGTGGTGAGGTGTAGGAATATGGAGGAGATGGCGGCAGAGATGATGGTGGTTGCCATGTAGGAAGTGGTGGTGGGACTGGTTCATTACATTCGGCTGGTGGAGGTGGAGGGGGGCTTTGATAAGTTGGTGTTTGTGTGTAAATCGGTGGTGGTGGAGGTGGACGTTGATAAGTCCGCGTTGGTGGCGGTGGTGGAGGCTGACTTTGGTAAGTAGGTGTTGGAGTATAAACTGGAGGTGGCGGTGGGGTCTTTTGATAAGTTGGTGTCGGGGTGTAAACTGGAGGTGGCGGAGGTGGACTTTGGTATTTTGGTGTCGGAGTTGGAGTATTGGCGGCAGCGGCGGCGGTGGTGGTGGGCTTTGATACACTGGCGGAGGCGGAGGTGGGCTTTGGTAAGTTGGTATTGGGGTGTAAACTGGCGGAGATGGTGGCGGGCTTTAATAATAATTTTTTTAATATTTATTATTTTATTTTTGAAAAGTCAAAATTGCTCTTTAGTCAATACACGTGAAAAATGAGTTGACCGTTATTTTTTGAATGAAAACCTAACAGAAAAGTAAAAGGTGACATAACTTTATAGTGGCGCGTAGTCTGTTTTTAAACATTTGGTATCAAACGAAGACAATGAGCAATTTATTGGTACTTTTACTGTAATTAATCGTATTTTATTTTAATTTACTAGAACTGATGTTTGCAAAAGAACTCATATAGCAACCTATTTATAATGCAAGTGAGTAGTCCTTCACATCTCATTTCATCTTTCACCACGACTACTATCTGTTTCAAAAATAATTACTCCCTCCGTTACATAATTATCGTCCAGTTTGAATTTTCATTTTTAGTTCAACTTACACTAAAAGTGAAATTTCAAACTGGACAATAATTTTAGGACAAAGGGAGTACTTTGTGAAGTGTTTATTTTATATTTCTTCCGATCCTCATTATCATGCATAAATTTAAACTTACTTTAACATTAATTGTGCTTTAGAATCAGGACTACAGGAGTGCAGTAATGACATAGTAATAATTTTGAGACGGAAAGAATAAATAAAAGCTTATTTGTCCCAAAATGAATATATTCTCCTATTTCAACTTTTATTTCTAGTACAATTTATACAGTAAATAAAAATTCAAATTAAATAATCATTTCATAATGGAAAGAGTGTAAAAAATAAGTCAACAAAAAGTTAAAGAATCGCTACAATATTGTTAAAGAATTGGAGATAATCTCTTGGAAATCTGAAAATTATTGAAGGCACATGAATTATGGTGTTTATAGTCCCTTATTAAATATTTTGCATGGCCTTCTTATTTTGCTTGGTGACGGGTGTTGATCTGTTTACTTTTGCACATCCACTCTCAATAATTTTTGGCAATTGTGATTTGTCAGTAAAAGATTTTTTTTTCCTTTGGATTGTTGCTTGTAAACAGGTATTGTGATCACATTTCTTATCTTCATCAGCAACCCTCCCAAGTCCCATCCTCTTACAAACATATGTTGTACGTTAATATTTTTACTAATTCGACATTATTGACCAGTAAATGAAGAAAGAATCTAATCGCAGTTGATTACTTAAACCCAAATAAATGCACGCATGCGAGGCATGCGTGTCAACATGTGACAAGCTAGTGAAGACCATATAATTATTCGCGCTGGGCTCAACCTTCTCTGACCTAATATTTGATTTGGTATTATGATTTTTTTTCGAAGGAATTTTAAGGTTAAAACTATGATTTGGTTGCTATTGGAATAATTTTGTTAGTACTCTACTGAACATGCGAAACATGTATACAGCTAATCGAATTAATTTGGTGGGTCAAACTCTGAAATGTTAAGATTTATTTAAAGGTTATTAAAATCAACTCCAAGAATTGAGGGCACATCATGACAATATTCATCAATAGTATCTGAGATTCAGAATATATATTATGCGACTCGTGGATTAAGTATTAGAAAAAGGAAAGAAAAAAAAAAGAAAAATAAAAGGCAAGCTGGTAATTAATCCAACCAATGCCAGTTCAAACAGTTGAGTATATGCATTAATCACAAATATATACTTTTCGGTTCCAAAATATTTATCCTGATTTGCTACATCAAAATAACTATTTTGAGACGGGGAAATAACAAATTAAAATTCGTAAGAAGGGGGGAAAAAAGAAGGCAAGGGGGGAAAAAAAAAAAAGTTCACTGGAATCTCTAAATTTTGAAGGATAAGATCAATAATCTTCTGCTGGCAAGTTACTTAATTAATTAATAAGATAGATAATTAATTTAGATGTTTGAAATTGCCAAAAAAAAAAAGCAAAAAATAAATATTTTAGTTTATGTATTTGATACTCTCTCTTCTCATAATACTGTTTTTTTTAAAGGACGTTAAATTAGCAATGCACAATTTCTTTGAAGAAGATATTGTGAGCTACACCATCCACAATGTTAATAAACTACCTTATAAGAATCATCTCCAAAATTTAACACTAACAAATTTTCCATGCATTTATGACAACGTAAGCCATATGTAGGTTCTTAGAGATACATATTTTTGTTGTTGCGCAGTGATCCCTCACGTCTATGAGACTATGATAATATACGTGTTGTTTTATATCAAGAAGAAGAAAGAAATAAAGAAATGATTAATCAATATTCTCATAATTAGACAGAATTGATTACATGACTACTTCAATTTTCGGTCAATGGTTGCCGCAGCTTCTTCTTTAGAGACACTCCTACCATTAGCAGCATTATTGGGACCTTGATGATGACGAAATATTCCGGGGAGTTGGCCGGTGCCGTAGGCTTTCCGTTTGTACTGCTCCAAATCTGTGTATTTCAAGTAAGGGCTACTCTCCATTGCCGGCATTGTTGTTCTTCTTCCTTCTTGTTGCTGCTGCTCATCGTTGGCGTATTTTCTCATCATCTGTCCCTGTCCTCCTCCATCAACAACCTCATCACCGTTGTCATTCCCCCCCGGCGGGCGTTCTAATTGCATTTGGCCGCTAGCCATATTTGGGTTGATGTTAGCAATATTGTAAATTGTGGTTGGAGTGTTGTTTATGCATGCATTGTTGAGGCAATGCAAGGAAATGTAATTTATATTGGTATAATTGATGATCCGTATTCACCGAACTCCCAAACTCAATTTCTACCCTTAACTTTCTAATTGACCTCCTGTACACACGTTTCATTTCTCTCCCAATTAATTTGTTAACATTAATATATATATAATCATAGTGCGGTCGCATTTTAATAGTTCACTTTAGCGTATAATAAGGAGCACTAAATTTGGCATCGGCCGAGAAGTGGATTGTCACACAGGCATTCAACTATGTCCTGACAAGGAAATTGTGAAAAGAAAAAGGCAGAAGATGGAAAAAGAATAAATTGCATGCAAGGATGTCGATGTAATAATGCAGATGATATCCACTCTCTTTGAAGATATCAGTACGCTCTTGTTTCTGCCATTTGTACTGTGAAATGAAAAAAAGATAAGAAATTATATGAACTCAGCAACAGCAACAGAAAACAAAGCATTTACACCATAATGCGAGTGATATGTGGATCTTGCTGCCGTCCGGGTCAGTTAAGAATCAATTACATTAGCTACAAACTGGAAAATTTTTACTCTAAAGGTCACAACTTGGATGTAATACAAAGCTACAGCAAAAAGAAATGGGCAATACTTCATAGAACGAAATCTAGCCAACCAGTGTCACTGGCATTCTCATTTACATAATTACAATCCAGCTCTCCCCTTCTCAAGTCAACTTTTTAGGGGCTTACTCAAAAGTATACAAAATCCAAGCTTCAAACTAGAGGCACAAAGACAAGTCTGAACCTGAAAAGCGTTGGTGATTTTTCACCGGGTTGAAGCGTATTGTCAAAGGCAAAATGGTGATCCTTATTGTATCTCAAGGATTCTGCATCTCCTCAGAAGCTGATCTGTGTGACTTGTGAACAGGATCTGAGTTTGGCTGCTTTGATCCCATTTGGCCATTCAACGGACCCTTGTCTACTATCTGATCTTCAGCCTTCAAAGGAGACTTGAATGGTCTCTCAAAATCTTTGGCGGCTCCAGCATCTATCACTAATTTATCAAGTTTTTGCTCCTGCAAATGAAAAGCTGACAACATGAGCTTACACAATCAAGGTACAAATGCACTTTTTATGTCTTGTTCATGCACAAAAATAGAAAATCATTCGCCCATTGAGCTTACATTTTGCAATGCTTCAAGCTTTTTCTGTAGTGCCTCATGCTCTGCCTTAATGCGGAATGGAACGCCATGCTTCTGATATACATTGTTTTGTGCCAAATCTTCATCAATGTCACTAGCAGTTGTTGCAAAAGGATGGTTTGCAGGAATCCACCGGACTGTATCAGGGTCCACGTCTGGCGGTATTGAATCTCCTTCTTTAAGAAACACCTGTGGCCTCTTCCATTGATATGCTCGTGACCTCCTTTTCTGATGGATGGCTTGTTGCTCTTTTGTAAGGGTCACTGGCGCTAATTTATATACCCTGCCGCACATCTCAACTGTTGAGTTACTTTTACCGACCTTCACCATTGGATTGTTAAAAGGGTCATCATACTTGAGCGGTGTGGATCTGGAAAGAGAAACGGCCAAAAAACATGCTAAATTGAAACATGTCCATCCCATAAATTAAGTGACTTAATCTACTAAAAAACATTAGAATATCTTTGGAAGTGATGAAATAATTGAAAAAGATGCAAGCTGTTTCACAATAAAGAACCAACAATAAGTTTTCAGAAGATTTTCAGAAGATTCGATAATAAGCATAGATATATTAAAACCTGAAATTGGAAGAGTTAGAATCATACATGCCTCTTCTATCAGATCTCAACTGACCACGGCGAACAAGATCAGCCACAGAGCCAGGACGACTGTGATTAGACTTTCTGCTGGCATAGCTCCTCATCACAAACAGCAACAGAGTTGCTGCAGCACATAGCCCAAGTGTAAAACTGGCACTGAAGTGTCTTTTCATCTGACAACAAAGACGGAAAAGACTTAAACCGTAGCAGCAAAATTTCATGGAAAGGATATTTCCAAACATCACATCTACGTTCTCCCAAACCAAATTAAGCGATTAATTACTGCATACACTCAGTGACGAAGAAATAACAGTAACATAACAGAAGTTCAATAACACATTCTAAGCACAATGTGGACAAGAGAATCCTAAGAGTTGCAAGGTGGTAATATCCATGCTCTTCTACAAGGTACTTCATCAACACATTAATTACCATAGTACGACAACGGACAGCATTGCTGGTAAGTCAAACAACACAGTTTGAACTGCAATAGTATGCATGACAACATTGGGAACGAAATGCAAAACATAACAATAAATTGTTGGAAATAAATAAACAACAGGTAAGCCTTCATCTAGTGGACCCTTTATCCAAAGCTTAAATCAGTATCCCAACAGCAAGACCAACAACAACTAACCCTATACCTTGACGTGGAATCCACTATGACTACTGACTAGCCACTGCAATTTCATCAAAAGACATATTACAAGAATGGAGGGGTCAGCTCAAATTACACTCCACAGGGTAGAATACATATTCAATGAATTGTTCCAAGCAGAAAATGGTGAATGCAATGAACCAAAGAACTGGAAAAGCGCACTGAGCGTGAGAAATTACCGAGAAAATGACCGGAGGAAGAGAAGCAACGGTAGCCTGTAGTTTAAAGACGAGACTTTGAGGCATATCCTCGTGTGGTCTCTTCGGCTTCTGTTGGGGATACTCATTATTATTACAATTGACCATAATGGCTTCATCCGGAACAGCAGGAACAACGCTCTTGTTGTCATTATCAAATTCAGCTCCACCACCGTCACCGGAGCTCTTCACCGGAGGAGGATGGCTGTATGCCCGTAACACAAACTTCCGATGAGTTTTACAAGCAGAAGTCCGCTTCCAACAATTTCCGGAATAGTAAAAAGTAGCAACAATCCGGCATCCCAATTGCTTTGCAGAATCTTTACGCTATAAACCCCAAAAACGCACAAGAAAAAGGAAGGGAAAAAAAAAAGATTACTTAATCAAAGAGCTTGCTTTGGTGCTGAAGAAATTTATAAATTAGTAAATGGAAATGGAAGAGGAGACTACTTACGGCAAAGGAAGGGGAGTAATGAAGCTGTTGCAGAGTCCACAGAGTAGCCATGGCAGTTCAGCAAATCATGGAAAATATCATAAAAATCATTCGCCCCTACAGACATGAAAATTTGGAATGACAAAGCAATTTCAGCATTTTCTCAGCAAACAAATGAAAATGATGAAATCAAGTGGGAGCTAGGGTTCCGAAATACAGAATTTACCACCACCATTGACAGATAATTAGGGGTTGAGGGAGCTTCGATACGTCGTCGTTCCAACTTCTCAGACCTTTTTCCTCCAGAAACCAGAATTTCCTGTGTCTCTTCAGAGTTACAACTGACTGACACAGACTTAGGGATGGATTTGGGTTCCATTTCAGATGTGGGGTCCTTCTGTCAGTGGAGTAATGGATTTCCACTTGGGCTTTTTCGACCCAAAGTCACTCGAGCTTATTGGGCCTCTAGCTCATTCGATACTAGTCAGTCATTCCCCTGCTGCAATTGTTCTTGCTTTTCGAATTAGTCTCAAAAAACCAGAAACTGAAATCTGCAATTTAATCTTGTTTAGTAGCTTGTGTTGTCGGGAAAAAAAAATATATATATATTACCTTAGCGTTTTGCCTTTTTATTACAGTACTTCAATCCTGTTAATCAGGCATTTCTAAGCACAAAAAGTTGTACCAAGTGTCCCGAAATGATGTACTCAATAATCTGTTTCAAAATAACTATCCCAGGACAGAGAAGGTGTCTTATTGTTAATCAGTTCTCTCCTACATTCTTATCATTCACCTGCCCATTGTAAGAGTCGTACAGAATAATTGTACGGCGGCTTCATCGATTTAGTAGCATCACAGCCTATATTTTTCTCAACTCGTCACCATAACTCTTGCAACACTCTGTATGTGGTGCAGTATAATTTACATATTAGCAATTTTTGGACAAATAACATAATCGGGGCATTATGAACTTTAAGATACGGGTTGTGAATTTTATGATCCTAACCATACTCAATATATTTTCAATAATATGGTATTCGTGAAATAAGTGTGTAGTTAAATTTTTTAATTTTATTCATCAATTTAAAGAGAAAAAACAATCTCTATTTTGATTATTTATAGTACTGCATGCACTCTCAAAGTCTCAAAAGTATTAGTATTAACTTATTACTTTGCTTTAAAAATTTATGAAGTGCAACCACTTAGTATATACCGTGATGAAATTTGGATTTGATCGTTTTTCTTTTCCTTCACTGGAAAACACAAACAGCTTTCATATCCTCAATTTAAAAACCAACATTATGAAGGAATTTTTTTTTAAAAAAAATGATGTACTATAAAAATTTCATAATGGAGAAACAACTAAAATAGTCTAAAATAAAGAAGGTGAGAGACCGTCCAACCTCACTCTTTTGAGTTTAGCCAGTAGTGGGCATCCCACTTGAATTGCGGGGGCGGTGAGTGTTTGATTTATGTTTGGAATTTGGATGGCTGTTATCAAAAGTTTATTAAGTCAGCCTTTTTAACTCTAATACTAGCAAGTCTCTTCTCATGAAACAAAAAATGACGATTTCGTTTCACTTAACTCTGTTTGGATTTAAATTCTTGACAGTTTGGAGTATGGAGCTCTGTATGGATTCCCGAAAAAAGTTATTGCACTTCAGTAAAATGCATTATTTGGTTTAAATTATTTTCTCAAATTGTAAAGAAAATTTTCCCAAATTTAAAATTTATCAACTATCAATTCTCGAACAAAATAAACTAAAATATGTTATAAAACAAATATAAAAAACTGTAGAGAAAAGAACAATAGAGAAAGAGAACAAGTTGAGAGGGGTAAAGAGAGAATTAATTTCACCTATTTCTGCAGAGATTGCTCACCTTTTATAAAGGAGATGGATACAAAGATCTTATAAAATGATAGAATAAATAATGATACTATCTAACTATGATAATATCTAACTAAATATTATCTCTAAGCAGTTGATTCCTTGTATAACTCTTCTGACTTGTTGACTTCCATATTAACTATTTATAACACTCCCCTTGGATGTCCATTTCTGGAGATAAGGCCTCGTTTAAGCCTTTACTAGAAAAAACACAGTGGGATAAAAATCTTATAAAAGAAAAAGAGTACATTTTCAAATATGACGCTGCCTCGTTAAAAACTTTGTCAGAAAAACCCATTGGGACAAAATCTCGAGCAAGGGAAAAAGAATACAATGTGGGGTTACTCCCCCTGTTAAGTACATCACTTGTAATCTTCTCACCGCGTGTTAAGATGTTGACCAGTTTCATCATGTTAAAATCCATAGTCGATAGATTTGCTACATAGTCACTTCAACTTCTCATGCAGACGATCATTTTCATGTCATGTTTAATTTTGAGTGATTTTGAATAATAAAGATCCATAACCATTGTACCCCAAAGGTATCAATACTTGTGATATTTCAATATCTTTAGTAATTAATAAAATAAACCGATACTTTATAAGTATAATAATGTGGTACTTCAGGACCAAATCAGTTTACATCATTATTAGAAGGTCGATAAAGGATCTACACGCACATCAAGACTTTAATCAAGTATGCTTGACAGGAGTTAAATATAAAGATACTACGGTCAAACTAAGACCGAGATTCTATTCAAAGTCAGCTTTCATTTTTCTTGCTTTAGGCAAATAGTAACCTTTTGAATTTAGCAACCTTTTGAACTTCTCTAATTTTGAAGTCTCAATAACTATGATAAACTCTTCAGGAGTTATATTAATTTTGAGGTTATTCGAACTCTATAATTTTGAGGCTATCCGTCTTTTCAAACTCTTCAAGAGTTTAATATTAATTGGGTTCTAAACATATAAGTATGTAACGAACACACATATCATTGCCATAAAAGTATGATCATTTAAACACATTGAGAATTACAAACAGACAAACATAACTCATTCAGATAAAACATGTATATAGACGTGTGTATAAACCAAAGATTCAAAAATATGCACCTAAATATTGTCTAAACACATGAAGACACTAGTACTTGCGCAAGTCTTTCGAATTACTTTCTCGAGAATTGGAACCATGTTCCATATTGAATCCTTCTGGGATTTCACATAGACGTCATTATCAAATATCAAGTATCATATTTCAAGTATCAAATTTCAAGTGATCACTACATTTAGTAGATATAGCAAATAACGGAAAAGTTTTATTTCCATCTACTACAAGAGAATATATCTCCCCATAATTAACATCCGGATATTGGAAAAACTTGTGCAACAAGTTGGTTGCTCGTTAATGTTTTGCACAATCGCCGAATAACATTTAACCGGTATATTACTTGTCAAAACTTCTGGTTTTTTAAGCAATTTCATTTTACCTACACATCTTCAAGTGTGTATTGCGTCTTTTCATTTATTATGGCCAATAAGTTTAACGTCTGCACTCACAACCAACTTTTATTTCATGATCCTCATTTTCATTCATATTACTAACTACTGCAGTATAAGCAAATTTCATGTCGACACTTTATTGCAGATCGATTCCTTCTTTCTTTAGTAATGAGATCTCACAATCACTAAATTTTCCAAATATTCTTGTTCTCTTTCTGGAAGTTTATATTCAAAGTATTAGAAAACCATTTAATCACTCGTATTTACCATCTTACGAGGATTCTGATTATTGGAATCGACTGTTCTACCACTTATCAAATGGACATTCAATTAAAGAATAGTGGTAGATAGTCTTTCAGGGACGTAACATCAAAATTTTAAACATTAATAGCTTTTGGATCTAACATAATTACACGTTTTGGTAATACAAATATCTGGTTTTAAACATTATCTCTTGAACTTCAGGTTCATATTATTGAGGATCTTATGAGATAATGATGTCGTCCATTTAAATTATTAATCATCTATTTTTACTTCTCCCCCTGATGCTGGGATAAATAATTCGTCAAACTGATTGTCAATCAATCGAGTAGTAAATAGATCTCCTTTTGGAGTAACTAACTCGTCAAACAGACAATAAGCCAATCGAATAGTAAAAACCAACATCAATTACCCCAAAGGGTGGATGTTCAAAATCTAACATATATTCTTAACCTCTTCCAGGGCTTCCATCTCTGCGTGCATTGTGGTGGAACAATTAAGATAAACCGCGCATCTAAATTTTGAAGATGGATATGTATGGGAGAATTTTTGTAATAACCCATTTGGATTGATGTTTTCTATGTTTCAACACGTCCTCAATTGTATATATGGGGTGCTTACTTTCCTTTTGAATACATTTAATGAACGATTCTACAGGAGCATTTCACTTTTGCTTGTATAAGCATTGTATGTTCAAGTATTATCGCTGAAGCATTTATCCTGGTAGTCATACATGCACCAAAACTATCAAATCAAAATTTTCTCATAGGAGAATATGAAATTACACACATAACTAAATTGAAGTCGATATTTAACTTTCACAAACTCCAGATTGCAATTTAATGACAAGCATACAAATGTCAATCTTTTAGCACATTAGTTAATTTGTTGGAAGAAATTCCTGATTCTCCAAATTTAAAACACATGAACTTAGTTATGTCAAATGTATAAACTTATAATAATCATTAAACTTCTGGTTTGACTTGCTGGTATGAGAAGTGAACTTCTAGTTCCTTAATAAACTTCCGGTTTACTATAAAACCCAACGATAATAATACTTTTATAGTATTTTAACACAAAAGAATACACAGATATATTTTTTTTTCTTCTGGAAACTGTATTCGTATTGTACAAGTATATGATAACAGTTTTCTGATATTCGAAAATCTTTTATCTAATTCTTTTGACATTGGTGCAAAATCATTTTGTCGTTTTATTTACTCTTCTAGAGCCAAATTCACAAATTCTCTAATGGAGATAATAAAGAACTAATTATTCAATCATGTCAAAACAAGCCTTCTTCATAAAAGCATTTACTCCAATGGAGTTTTATTTACTCCGCAAAAGTATAGTTTAATCAGTAATTTTCGTTCTACCAAAGTATTTTTACTCTTCTGGAGTAGACATATAAAGTATTATATAACTGACACTCTACAGGAGATTTCATCCAATTTTATTTATGGAGAAATGTACTTGCATATTCCCAATAGTTAGGGAGCATTCACAATATTATATTTTGCCATAGCAAATTATGTTCTTCTGGATATTTTGTCTAATTTTGTGAAGAAGTTCATACAGATGCTCTACCGGAACATTAAATCAATTTTGTTCTAACAAAAGAATAATGACATTGCCTGAACTCATAAATTATAAGGAATAATAACATATACGATAAAGTATATAATAAAGAAATTATAAATTTAAAATATAAAATAAACTACCACTAGATGTTTTCATTATGAACGGATAACTAATATTACCTTCAGGGTGATCATTCATAAATAGTTCTGATTCTTGATTTGTTTACCTTCAGGGAGAACATTTAACTGACATCCATAATAATATCGTTAACATTTTTGTTAACATATGTAGTTTTCTGGTTTTTGACAAAGAGTAACAAGATGTTTTTTTGCAAAGTAGGTAATGCGGTGATCTTTTATGCTATAACAATAGCACTTTTTATATTTTACCTTTTTTGCTCTCTTCAGATTTCACACTTCTGGTGGTTTATTTTATTTTCCTTAAAATTTCTCACTTCTAGTGAATAGAAATATTTTTTATATCATTACCAATTCTTAATTATATTTGGGACTTCAATTTATCCACTATTAAATGTCTGATAATTGCATTCACTTTAGGAAATGCAGTAGTCCAACTTGGACAAGTCTAATAATTTTGAAACAAAAAAAGAATTACTACATCAGGAGTAATTCCTTAATTTTCTTTGTCACTAATCTTCCACTTCGGGTGAAAGATCATATTTTATATGTGATCATCATATGACTATTATTTGCAACTTGAATCGCAAAAGTAATTCTCTACTTACTTCAAGAAGTGGAAAATTCTCAAATAAAAGAGGTCTCGTGATTTTCCTTAACAAAATTCTATTAGTAAATTTAACAAAAATAATAAACTGCTACTCCAGTAGCAATTCGATGTTATACCTATGAATCCAAAAATCTCATGAATGTAAATTCATCCCAGCATTGAGAATGTTTAAAAAAATAGTCACTTCCCTTCATCACTAATTTCCAACTTCTGGTGGTTCGTGATGTTCCCATAATTTATCCTGACTGATAGACTCAGTTATTATCATCTGCCTTTAAACCTCAAAACAAGTCATCAACCTTTAATATATTTTTCACTCTAGGTCATCAATTAAATTTATTTGTAACACATGTTACCTTACTAAAGTTTTAATCCATTTCAGATTATTCTGTTAATTTTGGCCGTTAAATAGTGACAGAAATCCATTTTTCACATGCTTTTGGGTTCAGGGGTATTTTTGTCATTTTTTAATTTTTTAATTTTTTAATTTTTAATTTTTAATTTTTTTTACAATTCTTCTTCTTATACTTCCTAACTTGTATACACTAGTAGTATAATTCTAAATTTTAAAAATTTATTTTTCTTTTGTATTTTAACTTCTAGATTATAAAATTTTTTTAAAAAAATTTAAGAAATGAAGAAGAAAAATTCGAGTTAAAGTAAATATGAAAATTAATAATTTACCATTTAAAAAAAAAAGAAAAACTAAAAGAATTATCTAAGACAAGTTGTTTCTTCTAGGTTATTTAATTTTTTTCAACTCGATTGAATTATTTAATTATTAATTTTAACATTTCTTATTCTTTTTTTTATAATCTAGAAGTTAAGATACAAATGACAAACAAATTCATTTTTGAAAATTAATTTGTTATTTTTTAATTAACTTGTAGATTATTAAAAAAAAGAATAATAAACGTGAAAATTAATAATTAAATAATTCAATCGAGTTGAAAAAAATTAAATAACCTAGAAGAAACAACTTTTCGTAGCTAATTATTTTAATTTTTACTTTTTTAAATGATAAATTATTTATTTTCATGTTTACTTTAACTCGAATTTTTCTTTTTCATTTCTGAATTTTTTTAAAAATAATTTTATAATCTAGAAGTTAAAATACAAAAGGAAAATAAATTTTTAAAATTTAGAATTATACTACCAGTATATACAAGTTAGGAAGTATAAAAAGAAGAATTGTAAAAAAATAAAAATAAAAATTTAAAAGATTAAAAAATAAAAATGACAAAAATACCCCTGAACTAAAAAACATGTGAAAAATAGATTTCCGTCACTATTTAACGGCCAAAATTAACAGAATAATCTGAAATGGATTAAAACTTTAGTAAGGTAACCTTTGTTACAAATAAATTTAATTGATGACATAGAGTGAAAATATATTAAAGGTTGATGACTTGTTTTGAGGTTCACTCTTATTTATATCTACCTCTTCAAGTGATTAGTTTATATGTCTATGATATTTGAACATGTTCAAATCCATTTGCTTCAAGAAGTGGGAAAAATTCCTTTGAATATTTCACGAAATTACTAATAATGGAGCTTAATTCAATACATGAAAAATTTATAATAGAAATGGCTATTACAGGAGCACTTGGTTGTACCCGATATTACAAAACAAGAAAAGTTTACCGCGCTCTCTGATCTTTGGATCAAAATCACCTTATCGCATTCCCTGATTTACAGATTGAAATCTTTTCAGTTGGATAGAGAGTCGTGCTGATAACGTCTTATAAAATAAATATAAAGAATTATAGAGAAAGAATAATAGAGGGACAGAACAAGTTGAGAGAGGCAAAGAGAGAATTGATCTCACCCATTTCTGTAGAGATTGTTATCCTTTTATAAAGGAGATGAATACAAGGATAAGAATAAATAATGATAATATCTAACTATGATAATATCTAATTAAATATTATCTCTAAATAGTTGATTCTTTATATAACTTTCTGACTTGTGGACATCCATATTAAATATTTATAACAGAATAAATTATTATATTATAAAACTCGTGAATTATTACTAAATTGTTGTCCTGTTTGGAATACTACTATTATCTTCACAGTCTTGTAAAGACAATAGTAGCCCCGAACAAATAATAAAAAGATAATAAAGCAACAAAAGCATCATCTTCTTGGAAGTTTGGGCAATGAAAATGTAGATTTGACAAAGGCTGAAATAACGGCTGAAATTAACCCACGAAGTTAGTGACATTTGCAAAAGACAAAACAATCCAAACGAAGGCCTCCGTGTCTTTCTGTGTCTATAGCTAATCCTCTTACTTCCTGGAAGTTACCTAACGAACGCTCCAAACACCAAACACATACATATCCTAAATCTAATCTAATGTGAAATAAAGAGGTCGAAATAAAAATTCATGTTTACATACTGCGTAACACAACAAAATTACAATCTATTTATTCCGTCAAAATTATTATAATATTACAAATATACTCCGTCCGTTCCAAAATAAGTGTCGATCTACACTTTGCACATAATTTAAGAAACTCTTAAATAGGGTAGTAAAATTATTTGAATATCTTTAACCAACTTCATTAAAAAAATGTCCACCAATGGTATTAATTCTTTTGGAGGTAATTTTGGAAACTTTAAACAAAAAGTGCATTGAAATGTAAGAACGATATTTATTTTAAAATTTCTCTAGTTTGCTAAAACGACATTTATTTTGGAACGGAGGAAGTATTATCAACAAAATTATTACAATTTAAAGTAAAAATAAAAATCGAAACTGGACAATAATTTCAGGATGTAAATAGTATTATTTAATTGATTCATAAACACAAAATGTGATAGGATTAACACTCCTATCAAATCTTTAAGCTAAAGTACAGAACATACTTTTTCGGCTGCTCTATTTAAATTAATCATTCACTTTAGTTTTTGTCTCCCACCCTTGCTCCAAATGAGACCCCATCTTTTCCTCATTCGTTAATGCTCCACTATTTCACTCAAATTAACCTTTCCATAAAATTAGTTGCGCTTTCCATGTTAGTTCCTACACCTCAGCTTTCTCTCCTTCATTGTTGGAGGAGGATTAATATACAAAAGCAAAGATAGTTCCAATTACTTTCGTTTTGACAATCAATCGATCATCGATGTAGACAGTTACATATCATTGATAGATTTGATAAGGTAAAGCGAATATTTACAATTTCTTTGTATCGTGTAAAATGATACATCTAGACACATTTAAATAAAATGTACGAATTATTTTGAAAAGAAGAAAAATTCTGCTAATTTTTCATTAGTTTGTTCTGCTATAAATTATAATTTTTCATTCTACAATTCATTGTGCATCAAATATTTGTTTTAGCCCTTATTAATTATATTGAAATTATAAATAAAAATAACCGAAAAATAGTTGACATCATTTATTGATGGCAAACTTAAAAAATTAGCAATTAATTTGTCTTAAATCCCTAAAATGACTTTTATTTTAAAATATTTCTCCAAATCTAAAACGAATTATATTTTGAAATGAAGGAAGTATATATAAGCACCACCATCAAGTCCATCAATAACTATTTATTGAGTATTCCACGGTTAAAACAAAGTTAAGGACTAAATTGATTTCGATCACCATTGAATTTCTATTTTAAAAATTATTTAGCTGCATTGTAAAATAATGAATAATGAATTAGTTATGTCAACAAAAAATAATTTGATCAATGAAATATATAATTTTTGTGAGTGAGAAGCTAGATCATTATTAGGGACCAGGGGAGACTATCTTTCAAGTAAAAATAACTTTGAAATTTTTTTGTAAGGAAAATTCACCAATGTGTTTACCTAAGAGGATTTTTTTTTTTTTTTAAAAATAAAGTTTACAGTTTCCACATCTCATAACTCTTTTAAAATTATTTTCCCTATAAATATTTTATCCTTCACACAAATTTCCCTCCAATTCTGCATTTCTTTGCCTTGTGTCTCAAGAGAAAAGCACAATAAAATAACAAGGGAAAAATTTCAGAGTTCCTTCTTAATACAATGGAAGAATAAATATATACACTTTACCAAAACTAAATTAGAAGATTTACACACTAAACGAAATGAAAACAACAAACTGGAAGCTAAAATTAACATTCATAATTAACCTATACAACCCTGTTTAGATTTGCTTCATTTCTTTTTAATTTGTTCTTTCTTTTTTGTCCCCCCCTTTTTCTTTTTTGTTTTTTTTTGTTTTTCGATTTCATCAACTAATAACTGAAATCAATTACAATTATTACAATTCCTTCGTCAAGGCAAAAATATGTTGATTTCTTCCTGCCTCGAGTTCGCAGGCGTCGTTGCCGTTGCTGTAGCTGGGATTCCATTTCCCCCTTCGGGAGCAGCAACCGGAATGTCGACGGCGACGGAGGAGCTCGCCGGCGGGGACAATTCTCCGTCTCCGCACCTCTGGCACTCCGTTGACTTAGTAGTACTATTACCCGCGACTAGAATCTGTACCCGGCAAGAGGGACAGGAAGAGTGAGACTTCAACCAAGTGTCAACGCAAACGACATGGAACACGTGTCCACACGGCGGCAGGAGGCGGATTTCGTCCCCGGAGACGAACTCCGCCAAGCAAATGGCGCAGTCGACGGAGAATTTCCCGCAGCCGGAGCCATTCCCTTCGGCGTGGGAAGGCGGCGAGTAAGTGAGCTTGGGGAGTGAATTGAGCGCCTTTTTCTTCAATCCTTTGTTGACTGAACCCGAAGGAGGCGGCCGGGTCGTCGGAAGAGCTGAGATGTAAGCTAATCGACGGATCCAGGCGCACCGGGCGACGGCGACTAGGCCAAGGATGCAAATTAGGGCGCAGAGCAGGGCTGCGAGTATGACAACGAAGTCGGAATCGACGTGGCGGAGACTGGCCTCGGCGGCGTTGGTGGAGGAAAGGGAAGCAGCAGAAGAGGAGGAGGAAGAAGGGGACGGCGCTGCCGTAGCCTTAACGTCGGTGAGTGATCGGAATTTGAGAGGAAGAGACATTTTCAATTCTTTTTTTGGCCCAATTTTTTGAGGAACAGTAAAGAGAGAGTAATAAAGGGGAGAGTAAGGATTAGGTGAGTGATTTAGTTAAGGATTAGTGAGTGATTTAAATCGGTTAATATGAGGAAAGGAACTAAAAGAAAAAGGGGGAAAAAGTGGGTGAGAGTAGTGAAGGGAGTAGCTGGTAACTGTTTAACTAACAAAACATGTGATTGCCACATTTTGTGGGGACCAAACCAAATTTGGTTTTCTTTCTTTACTTCACTCTCTCTCTCTCTCTCTTTTTCTTCTTTTCTGCTGCAATTTGGTTCAGATGTTTTGTCATCACACAGTTGATACTTGATACTGCTGTCAAACTCTGAAATTTTGAACTGATGTTCTAATCTTTTGGTAGTTTTTTTTTTTTCTCACTCATCAAAGGGTCAAACTCAAGACTTTAGTTAGAAGGGTCAACACTTCTACAGAGGAAACATAATATTAAACGCACTGGAAATTCTCAGCAAATTTTTCAGATTATTACAGATACTTACCTCCTAATGTCTTTTTACAAAAAATAAAAAATAAAAAAACGTCCTAATGTGTTAATTCCCCCAGCATCAGTGCTTCAGGTTGGACTTTGGTCCGCAAAATGGACACGGTTAATAATTTTAGCGGTTCAATCAATATATGAGGCATGAAATTGATTAGTTCAAATTTTTAATAGGTTGCATACTGAAAGAATTTCATAGCAAAAAAAAAAAAAAGATTTATGGTGTAATAAGTAAATTTTATACTTTCAAATGGATGTTTCTTCTCTTTTAGAACAAAAAACAAGTACAGTATACTAAATTTTATACTTCCAAATGGTATGGTGCTTTTCATAGTCCCAAGTTCGAAGTTAAGATAATGTAATTTGAACATTCGATTCATTTTGTGTTTCTGGGATTCTCCCACGTTACTTGGCGTTTGGTCCTAATCAGGCATCAAATACATTAATACTGTACTATCTATCCCAAAATAAAAATTTGGAGTTATTACATTATTTTAATCCAATTTTCATAATTATTATTTTGGGATGGTTGGAGTGATAAGCGGCGCACACTCTTTCCCCATCTTTTTCCATTCGAAAGACAAAAGGAGGAATTACAAACAATTCAGTGGGGGCTGAGATAGGATGAGGTTCCACCAGTTTCTGGGCAAAACTGCAAATTCTAATTCAGGTTGCTGTCCATTGTCCCAAGTGAAGACGCAATAAGTCACACTACAATAACTCCTCAGTTATCCTGCCTTATCCGTCAAGTATTTAGGCCACAAAATCCATTGGTTCAGAAACAACCATATACTCCTCCATCTAAATGACAAAGTCTTGGCTTGCATGGAAGTTTCTTAGCCTCATGAAACAATCCCCTCTCATCCATCCCAAGTCCCAACTACCCAAAAAAAAAAAAAACCATATTTACTTTTTGTTCTTTATACCAAAAAGATCATGACATCTGATCATCCAATAAACCTTCAATCCCAGGTTCTAACAAAAGAATAATCATCAATCACTCTGTTGTAACCTTAGTCAGTTCATGCAAAATTCCTGTTGGTTCTTCTTGTTTCCTGTAAGTTCAATCAGTCATGGCAGCAGCAGAATATAATACTTCTTCTGCTGGCGGAAGAAATTCTTCTAATACTCATATATTGGAAGAGCTTGAAGCATTGAGCCAGTCTCTCTACCATTCCCACACTACTACGAGTTCCATTGGCGCTTTGACCACAAATCGTCGAACTGCCTCCCTTGTTCTCCCCAGAACTTCGATTCCTCCACTCTCTTCTGTCAATGATGGCGTGGCAGTTGCTAGTGAGGGTAAGCAACTCAATCCTAAGCCTCGATCAAGGCGAATGTCGCTTTCCCCGTGGAGATCTCGTCCTTCCAGCACGACTCAGGATGAAGATAATGATACGGTTCTCAGAAAGGATAATCAAGTCAAGAAGTCACTGCAAGATGCAAAAGTATCAGCTGATGAGAAGAAAGGTGGGATTTGGAACTGGAAGCCGATTCGCGCACTTGCGCACATTGGCATGCAGAAGCTCAGCTGTTTGTTCTCCGTGGAAGTTGTCACGGTGCAAGGCCTCCCGGCTTCCATGAATGGTCTTCGCCTTTCTGTTTGTGTTAGGAAGAAGGAATCGAAGGATGGCGCCGTGCAAACGATGCCATCAAGGGTTCAACAGGGAGCCGCTGATTTTGAAGAGACCTTGTTCATAAGATGCCATGTGTATTACACCCCTGCGAGTGGAACACAGCTAATGAAATTTGAACCCCGACCTTTCCTGGTTTATGTATTTGCAGTTGATGCCATGGAACTTGATTTTGGAAGAAGTTCTGTGGACGTAAGTCAGATGATTCAGGAGTCCATAGAGAAGAGCCACGAAGGAGCAAGGGTCAGGCAGTGGGACACCAGCTTCAATCTCTCTGGAAAAGCCAAGGGAGGGGAGCTTGTTCTCAAATTGGGATTTCAGATTATGGAGAAAGATGGTGGTGTTGGAATCTATACTCAGGCAGAGGGACAAAAGTCTGCGAAAGCAGGGAAATTGGCGACTTCTTCAATGGGCCGTAAACAGTCAAAATTTTCCTTCAGTGTCCCCAGCCCTAGGTTGTCCAGCAGAGCTGAAGCTTGGACTCCTTCACAGACAGGAGGAAAGACTGATCTTCAAGACATTGATGACTTGAATCTTGATGATGATGAACCTCCTCTACCACCAGTACAACCACAGCCACCCCAGAAGTCCCAAGTTCCGGATGCAAAGTTGGAGGATGATCTCCCAGATTTTGAAGTTGAGGACAAAGGAGTGGAGATTCAAGTAAGTGATAAAACTATAGAAGAGGAAAAAGGAGAAGAATCATCTGAAGAGAACTTGGAGAAGAAGTCGGTCTCAAGTGAGGTTGTCAAGGAAATCGTGCATGAACAAGTCCACCTTACGAGACTGACAGAGCTCGATTCAATTGCTCAACAGATAAAAGCTCTTGAGTCACTGATGAGAGAAGAAAAATCAGATACACATGACGACGAAAGTGAATCGCAGAAGCTAGACGCTGACGAAGAAACTGTAACAAGAGAGTTTCTCCAACTGCTGGAGGATTCAGAAAGAAATGAGTTCAAGCTGGAGAGCCATGATGACATGCCTCAACTCAAGTTGGAAGGAGAAGAGAACCACCAAGAAGCTGAAACTAACGCCGTATACATACCGGATCTTGGAAAGGGGTTAGGCTGTGTAGTTCAGACAAGAAATGGGGGCTACTTGGCAGCCCTAAATCCTTTAGATACTGAAATATCCAGAAAAGAAACTCCAAAGCTGGCGATGCAAATCTCCAGGCCAATGATTCTTCAATCCAAAGCGACAAATGGATTTGATCAGTTTCAGAGAATGGCAGCTCTCGGCCTGGAAGGACTAGGTTCTGAAATTCTGTCTTTGATGCCTCTGGAGGAACTCAAGGGTAAAACTGCAGAACAGATAGCATTTGAAGGCATTGCTTCAGCGATAATCCAAGGAAGAAATAAAGAAGGAGCAAACTCGAGTGCTGCTCGTTCTATTGCTTCGGTTAAAGCCATGGTAACTGCAATGAACACCGGAAGGAAGGAAAGGATTTCAACAGGGATATGGAATTTGACTGAAGATCCGCTTACAGTGGTTGAGGTGCTGGCATCCTCAATGCAGAAGCTAGAGGCAATGGCAGTTGAAGCACTTAAGATTCAGGCAGATATAGCTGAAGAAGAAGCCCCATTTGATGTATCCCCACTTCTAATAAAAGGGCAAGAAAATACTCACCTTCTGGCTTCTGCAATTCCAATAGAAGAATGGATAAACGGTAAGGCCCTGAAAAGCTCAACTGATGATGACGATGGCGATTCAGCAGGTATTACAATTTCAGTCGTTGTCCAACTACGTGATCCCCAGAGGCAATATGAGGCAGTCGGAAGTCCTATGATAGCACTAATCTACGCAAGCTGTGTTGACATTAAACCAGGCAAATACGAAGAGGAAAAGCTGTTCAAAGTGGCAAGTCTGCATGTTGGAGGTATCAAAGCACGGGATGATGGAGAGAAGAAGAAAAATCAGTGGGACAGCCAGAAGCAACGGCTGACTGCCATGCAGTGGCTAGTTGCCTATGGACTTGGAAAGGCAGGAAAAAGGGGAAAGCGTAGGGTTTCCATTACACAGGACTTCTTGTGGAGCATTTCCTCCCGAGTAATGGCTGATATGTGGCTCAAGGCAATAAGAAATCCTGATGTCAAATTCACCAAGTAAAAGGCACAAAAAAAACAAAAGAGCCAAATTTTACCTTCTCATATAGTAGTGTATCTCTTAAAGATCATCATATAGTAGTACTATGCTTTGTTAATGTACTCCATAGTTCTAGCCATTAGGGGAAGAGATTTGTAAATTAAGTGAAACGACGAGGAATGAATAAAATTGGAGACCGGCAGATTACTAGTTGGTAACTTCATGGCCTTCAAAGAAACAGTGCAGCTTCAGCTTTCCAATAGTTTTAAGGACAATCAAACATCATAGAGTTCTAGGATACAGAATGTCAAGCTCTTCCATCATTTTTCGGCATAGAACTCCACTAAGTTACTGATAAAAAAGAACTCCCTTACGTTAGGGATACATTTCTCACTGGATTTCAACTCACAACCCGAAAACAATTCAAAAAGCTTGCATCACAACATCCATAATCGCAACATCCAGGAGCAGTTACTTAGGGCATGAAATTTCCTCAAAACATCTTTGAGATTTCATGGCACAATAATCGCAATCCGTGCAAGACTCTTTCAAGTAGATTACAGCGATTCAACGAAATAAGGAAAAAGATAAAAAGAAGTCATGAAAGAAAAGGTCATGGGCAAAAAAATTTAGGGAATAATGCACAAGTATAATCTTAATTTAATGATATATTTCAAGGAAATGTAAAATTTAGTGTGCATCGTCATGATTACATTTTCCCATGAAAGGTCACCTAGGTATTTACTTCCTGGCATCCAACAAGTTCAGAAGAATTCTTTGCAACTACAAGAAGTTACCCTTTCCTCTAGAAAAATTCCGTCCTTCTCATAAGTCATACCTAATATTCCACTTGCCATTAACATCAGCATTGAATGTCCAATTGTTTTCTCTGATCTGCATGTATGGTACCTGGAACAACATCAGAGGAGAAAAGAAAGCAAAGTTAGAATTAGATGATAAAGGAATGACAAAGAGAAGAATAGGCATACAAATTCACAAGACAACAGCATAGTAATTAGTCAATGTATAAATGTGAAGGACAAGATACAAAGTGTGCAAATACTTTACCACAAGGTTGAGGTTGTAATAACACTACAGAGACGATTGGAAGAGATAAACTGAATTCAGATAATTAATTTTCAGATCTCAAGCCTGATTTTACTTTATCTTCAGGTACCAATACCATTTCTGTTTTCACCCTCTCTCTCTCTATATATGAAACCGTATAGAAAGATACGACTTTAAACTATCCCTTGGCCCTTGTTAAACAGCCCATGTTTAGAAATGGCACCCTATCAGAACATGAACTTAAACTGAAACATCATACTTCCACGTACATTACTTGCTTGGTCAATGTAAAAGACAGCCATAGAGAAGCACAGAACAAAGATTTACCTTGCCAAGGATTTCATAGCCAACTTTGAGCCTAACATCTTGTTCCTTTTTGAAATTGTAAATGATCCAAGAAAATTCAGCAGCCCCAATAGACTTCTTCTGTTAAAGTAACAGAACATATTACTGTTAGAATCTGAGACATCAACATCATTTGGTTCATCTAAAATATTAAGAAGGAAAAGAAGGAAGATAACCTGTCTAAATTCTTGGTCAACATCATACCGCCCCTTAATGTGAAAATTAAAGAAGCCATCGGTTGTGACCGGAAATTCTTTCTTCCCACGAACACTGTAGTGAATCTTATCCTTCCTAGTATATTGCACTCCAACTCCAACACTTGCAGAAAACTAAAACAAGGACCAAGCCGTACAAAACACAGTGTCAACAAACTGGTTGAAACACACACAAGATTGAATGTGCAAGAAATTCACATCACAATGCAATTCAAAAACACGATCAGGCAAAGTGGGAGCAACACTCCATCTCTCCCAGAAATGTAAAAGACTTTGGTTATCACACCATCCTCAGTAAAAGATAATTTTAAGTAGAATTGATGACCACCATAAAAAAGTAAGACGGATGAATTTATGTTCGCAAACCTTATTCACCATTTCTCTACTTAAATGCTCTATCTTCTAAATTTGTGGAATCACATTTTTGATGCAGCAACTAACATTATTGATACTCAAAGTTAAGCGAGTGGAACTAAAAAACTGTGTCTTTTGACAACCACTTTTCCCGCTTTAAATAAATCTCCATACAAAGTTGTAACATCATTTGGAAGGTAGGTCTTTCCCACAGTAAATGACCATTTTGAATGATGAAAGGGTAAACTCGGGTAAAGGGACAGGGAAGGAGTCCATCATTTTTCAAAATTGAGAGAAATATGAGAGCAATACTCCATCCCTCACTATCACCGTTTTTCAATATATACAATGCTAGTCTTTGGAATATTATCCAAAGCAGGCTACAAATGAAAAGTTTTACAGTTAAAGATCAACTTAAACGCTATAACTCATAACTTATGTGTTCTTATAGCAAAACAACATAACAATCCTCTACCCGAAACTTCAACTATATACCAGCAAATTCTCATTAAAGATGTATTCACTGAGAAAATTATATTCTATCCCAAAGGGCAAAAGCAGGCAGATTACTCAAAATGAACTCCTACAATATTGAACTCGGTTCGTCATAGATTACATGATAAAATCACTACAAGTATTCACCAAAGTAATAAGATGACTACTAATACACACTGATACATCATTAAAGCAGAATATTTATCTGGAAATGAAGAAACATAGAAACAATTATGAATATCAAAAGTGAGGGTGAGTATGAACTGACATCTGGATAAAACTGCCTTAACATTGCACTCAAGAAAGTGGGAGCAGCAAGCCGAGTATCCAGTTCTCCATGAAGCTGTAAATTAACCATAACCAGTAAAATACCATGAAAAAAAAAGACGTAAATTTGCACAATTAAGGGGCGGGGGGGTTGTAAGAGGAAGAAAGAAACCTGCAAGTGAGTGTTGGAATGGATGGGTAGCTTCTCCTTGGCATGGATTCTGATGGCTTTGGAGTCAACTCCATATCGGATTGAGGTCTCCATTGCTTGAAATTCTTCTTTCTGGAAACCCTAATTGAAATAAAATAGTACAAAGGAAGTGATTGTGTACTGTAAAAATGCAGTTGGCGGTCACCCTGAAGCAACATAACCCGATAACCCCATCCAAAATCAAAACCCTTTTCAGTTTTTTTTTTTTTTTTTTTTTCTCTCTCTGTGATTTTCCATTTTTTTTTTTGTTAACTTCTTCCTGAACTTTTACAATGGGCTAAATTGGGCCTAGACTTCCCCTTCTCTAAGCCCATATAGTTGAAACTTGCATTCGATTTCACTGTAAACTCTTCCCCCTCGACACAATATTAATTCGGCAAAAATTTTAATAAACAAATATATATAAACAAAGGGGAAAAAATGACAAAGGAACTTTCACAAAATCATTCATTGGCTTCAAGATTGTAATTTTTAAAATAAAGTAATTTCACAGTAGCCAGTCACTAGCTAGAGTTTTCATTCTGGCTTTTGCAAAGGAAAATAGTTTACTTGATTGAATTAAAGTTTTCCTTCCGGCTTTTGCACAGGCAAATATATTATTTCATCAAAATAAAAGATGATTCTTTTTTTTGGGTTGACAGAGAAATAATAATGTTTAGAATTTACTCCTTCCGTCCCATAATTATTGTCCACTTTGCCTAAAAAATTTTGTTATAAAATTATTGTCCAATTTGACTTTTTATGGATCAAGTTACACATTTGTCTTTAGTAAAAAAATATTATACATAAAATCTTAGTAGTTAAACAATTACTTATGTAGGGGTATATCTGGTTGTTTAAGGTAAAATATAGTTAAGTTTGACAAAAAATAAAATTTTTAATTTTAGTAAAACTGGACAATAATTATGGGACGGAGGGAGTAATAAATTCAGGCCTTTTGTTTGGCTAAGGCATGACAAGTGCAGCCCATGCAATTGAACCACGTGAAAATTGGAGGTATGATTTTGGTCAAACTAGTCCAATTAGCTGGGCTTACGCTTTAATCAATATTCACTACACTGGTTGTCAAAAAAAAAAAAATGTCACTATAATTAATAAAAATGAATACTATATTTCAACACAAATTGGCATTTGTCATTGTCTTCTGAAGTTTCGATACATTTCTTTATCTCAAAATAAAAGTTTTATTTGTTGAACTGTTTATCGCATAATAAACCTATATAAAGCAAGAGTATAAGATAAGTAAATGAATAGATTAAACCCCATATCCTTTTTCCAAAACCTCAAATTTTTCCTTCTTATGGCTCCTCCTAGAGCTCAAGAAATTCGCACTCACCATGTTATAGTTCTGGTGTTTGTTTTAGTAGTACTTTTGATATGAATCTTGAGACAAAGGTGGCAGATTTATCTCGATGCGGAAGCTATGAATTTCTCAGGACTTGAAAACTTGCAAATCCAATATTATGGACTCCACAACTCACGAAAATTAAAAGAAAAGAAGAGATGCAAACCGCAAAAATTTGCACCAAAAAGGGATGGAAAGGTTTAGAAGATGTAGAAAGTGTTTAAGGTTAGCAACCCAATTGGTCACCTCTCTAACAACCCTATCCCTTCGATTTATGGATAGAACGGCTAGTGAAAAGGCTCCAATAAACAACTAACAAAGCTCCACAAGTAGAAAAACACCTATTCTACTCGCATGCATCAACAAAGCACAAGCTTGTGTGCAATGCACTAATCTTCGAAAAGAGTAGAAAAAGAATAAAGAGTTTATTCTCGTTTCATATTGAAATGCTGGCCAAACACCCCTATTTATAGTAGAGGGGGCCGAAATTCTCCTATGAAGTAGGAGAAGAGTTTGATCTCTAACTCTATTCCTACTTTAAAGAACTAGAAATCAACTTAACCTCTAATTGACAACTTGTGTCTTATCTATTAAGGCAATGTATCTAGACACCTTTATAGACTTAAGACACACTAGTCTAATGAAAATAAAACTCCAAATACAAAGAGATATTCTCTCAAAAGAATCTTATCCTTATCTTGAAAAGAATCTTCCTGAGTTGTCAACTCTATCAATATCTTCTTTGTAGAGTAATCATAGCCATTCAATCTTGATCTAATCTCCATCCAACGGTTGAGAGTAGACACCAAGGAATAGACTTCTTATTTTGAATAAACTCTAAATTAGATAAAAGAGAATCATATCAAATCTTATCCTTCTATGTGATAAGATTTAAATGATCTTATCTCTAAAAGATAGGGAATCTTCCAAATCTTATCCTTCCACAAGTGTGATAAGATTTAAATGATTTTATCCCTAAAAGATAGAGATTCCAACTCCTAAAAATTAGGAGATAGGGCTGGCCTCCCTTACTTGGTTTGTGGGCCGAAATTTCCTTCCTCAAATGGGCTTCGTAACACATTAATAATCTTGGGCTTGTAACTTCCAGACTTGACATTCTCTTGGGCTAAACCATTTGATATAAGATTATTAAGTGCACTCCTCATCCTTTTACTTTTAGCTTGAGTCATTGGGCCTCCAATGTTGGATAATGGATCTTGAGCCACTCCTTGAGCTTGGATAGTACTTGGAAACCGAACACCTTGATTATCTTGGACTTAATTACCATGGATGTTCACATCATTCCCTCCTTCCTCGAAAGGATTCAACCTCGAATCCAAAGCTTGTACAACTTCAGTATCTGAGAAATCAAACGGAGATAAATCAGAAACATTAAAAGTCGCACTAACATTATACTCACCAGGAAGGTCAAGTTGATAAGTATTGTTGTTTAAACGCTTGATAACTTGGAAAGGACCAGCTCCACGAGGATCTAACTTCGATTTAGCCTTTGTAGGAAAATCGAATTTTCCTTAAATGAACCCAAACCCAATCACCAGGTTCGAATATCATTTCCTTACGCCCCTTGTTGGCAATTCGCGCAACATGCTCATTTCTCTTCACAATATTCATGTGTACTTTCTCATGAAGAGAACGTACATACTCAGCTTTCTTGGCTCTATCTGCATTAAGATACTCAGAAACAGGCAATGGAGACAAGTCTAAAGGGGTTAAGGGGTTAAATCCATAAACAATTTCAAATGGAGAATATTGGGTAGTAGAATGCACAACACGATTATATGCAAATTCAGTAATAGGCAAACAAGCTTCCCAATTCCTACGATTCTTTTGGTTCAAAACACGAAGCAAAGAACCAAGAGTCCGATTAACCACCTCCGTCTGGCCATCCGTTTGAGGATGAGCAGTTGTTGAAAACAACAGTTTTGTACCTAGTTTTCCCCACAAAGTTTTCCAAAAGTAGCTCAAAAATCTAACATCTCTGTCAGACACAACAGTTCTAGGTAAACCATGCAATCTAACAATTTCACGCATAAATAAATCAGTTACATGCTTGGCATCATCAGATTTATGACAAGGAATAAAATGTGTCATCTTAGAAAACCTATCAACTACCACAAAAACCGAATCACACCCTTTTTGAGATTTAGGTAATCCCAAAACAAAGTCCATTGAGATATCAATCCAAGGGTGGGTAGGTACATGTAAAGGCATATATAACCCATGTGGTTGTGACTTAGACTTTGCTTGTTTGCACTCAATACAAGTAGAACAAACTTTTTCTACGTCACGTTTCATATTAGGCCAATAAAAATGCTCACATAAAACATCATAAGTTTTTAAAATACCAAAATGACCCATAAGACCACCACTATGAGATTCACGCACTAATAGTTCACGCAGAGAACAAGCAAGCACACATAATTTATTATCTTTAAACAAGAAACCCTCATACCTATAAAACTTGTTAAATGCGCCACTTTCACATGCTTCAAAAATGAATGAAAAATCAGAATCAGTAGCATACAAATCCTTGATGTATTCAATCCCTAATAACTTAAAATCAAGCACAGAAAGTACATACGATCTACGAGACAATGCATCTGCTACCACATTCTCTTTTCCCTTCTTGTACTTAATGACATAAGGAAAAGATTCAAGAAATGCACTCCATTTAGCATGTCTCTTATTCAGTTTGTTTTGTTCATGCAAATATTTCAAAGACTCGTGATCACTATGGATAACAAACTCTTTTGGCATTAAATAATGTTGCCAATTTTCTAAAGCCCTAATTACAGCATACAATTCTTTATCATAAGTAGGATAATTCAATGTTGCACCACTTAATTTTTCCGAAAAGTACGCAATAAGCTTACCGCTTTGCATTAACACAACACCAATTCCAAACCCAGATGCATCACACTCAATTTCAAAAGTAAGATCAAAATTAGGTAATGCAAGAACAGGAGCACAAGTTAAATCATTCCTTAAAGTGTTAAATGCAAGTTCTTGTTCTTCACCCCATTCAAACCTAACATTCTTCTTTACCAAGTGATTTAAGGGTGCAGCCTTAGTAGAGAAATCCTTCACAAACCTACAATAAAAACTAGCTAAGCCATGGAAGGAACGAATGTCAGAGACAGACTTAGATGTAGGCCATTCTCGAATTGCCTTAACCTTAGTCTCGTCAACTTTAACACCATCCTTGCTAACAACAAAACCAAGAAAAATAACTTTTGGTACACAGAAAGTACACTTAGCAAGTTTAGCATAAAGTTTATTTTCACGTAAAGCAGAGAGCACACTCGAAAGATGTTTAGCATGTGAAACTTCATCTCTACTATACACTAAGATATCATCAAAATAAACCACAACAAATTTACCTATATAAGGTCTAAGCACATGGTTCATAAGACGCATAAAAATAGAAGGAGCGTTAGTCAAACAAAAAGGCATAACCATCCACTCATATAAACCAAATTTAGTTTTAAAAGCGGTTTTCCATTCATCACCCTCTTTCATGCGAATTTAATGATAGCCACTAGCAAGATCTATTTTAGAAAATATACAAGAGCCACATAAATCTTCTAACATGTCATCTAGCCTAGGTATGAGATGTCTATATTTAATAGTAATTTTATTCACAGCACGACAATCCACACACATACGCCATGTTCCATCTTTCTTAGGA